GACTAGCATAGCCTTCGGCAACGCCCGCGTTCAATTTACAAAAAAACTCGTTGGCTTTATATAGCGACTTACGAGTACACTTGCTTCATTCGGGTTCGTCGCAATGTATAGGTATACATAATACTAGCAGAACCCCCGGCTTTGCTCGCGCTAAAAATCTAATATACCTACTTATTGTTTTATTTATTAGTTTAAAGGTAAGTTAGGTTATGGGTAGGTTTCATACAAGCATACATCCCCTATTTTATTATATTATTTGGAATTAATTTTGAAAAATGCTATAACACGTATTCATTTAATCATATTGAAAATCATAAATACCATGTTTCAAGCAATTCTGATAATAAATATTTTTTGGGTTAAATTATATCGTGTTGTCCCGTGGGAATGAGATAATCTCCCACTGTAAAAAGTAGCCTATGTCACTCTATAGCCCTCCAAATCTCTCCACACAAAAAAAATCACGCATGTCCGTCTTTCCGTTTGGACGTGAATGAAAGGACAAAGAACAAACACACTTTCATATTTATAATATTAGTATGAATTATTCATACAAAAATACTAAAATCTCGATTAAAAAATGGGGTATGGGGATAGAAGGGTGAAAAATACTTTACGATCTATTCTCACACCTACGAAATATATAAAACATCATTAAAATCGGTCGAGCCGTTTCGGAGGAGTGCGACCACAAACATCGTGACACGAGATATTTATATATTAGATAAATTGAATTGATATTAAGTTTGAGAGTGGTGACCCATGACGCCTTATGTACGAAGTAGTCACTAAACTCACTAACCCCTTTTAGGAAAAGGGAAGATTCTAGGAACTAAAAAGTAACTATACATATGATGTTCTCCTGACCGATTCCGGTCACGGCGGCCAATCTCATTGAGACTAGCCAACTGTGCAGGGGATATCGCGCAGACACAAGTGCATCTCTCATTCCTGTCACTCTCATACTCTGGTGGGACGACCACTCGACACGACCAGTGAGAGTTAAGGCGCAGGACCGACGCCTTTATGTGCTCTCCGAGACACGGGGGTGAAACACCACCAACTTCCCAACTCCGGGCTGTTATTGAGGCTTAATATACAGAAAGACTCAATAACTAAACTTGGCCCGACCCGAGACTCGAACCCAGGACCTCCGGGTGTGCAGCCGTACATGCTAGCCACTGCAGCACCGAGTCAGTTCTCAACTATACATATATTGTATGAAACAATTTGTATTCAACCTGCATATTTCAAGTGGATATCGAACTTAACACGTCCTCTAAACAATGGGAAACTATTACCGAATGACAAGGAAAATTTTAAGCCCACCGATCATGTGTCTCTGGAGGCAATATTTTTACATAGCCTCGTGATTTGAATTGTTATTGGCGCTAATGTGAAAGTGTCAATGCTAGCTATTGGTATACAAAAAAATACAAGGTCGTTGATAATTCGCAATCGACATTGATTTTATTATTAATATAAGTGACATACATACACACATACAGACACTCTAATTATCCATTACATATTATAATCATAAGTTGATGTTACGAATACTATGGAATGGTACGAGTATATGTATAGTTTAAAATTATATTCGTTACATTTAAAATATATTGTTTTCGATATAAAAAGTTTATTATCTATACATATTATATGTATGAAAATCTAATTGAAATAGACATTATTATCGATAAAGAGGCCGAATCTATAGTTTTTAGATTTTTTGTCTGTCTGTGTGTCTGTCTGTCTGTCTATCTCTCAGTCTATCTGTCTGTTACCGCATCACGAGAAAACCACTGGACAGATTTTGATGAAATTTGGTATGATGATAGCTGGTTATCCGGGTTAACATATAGGATACTTTTTACCGCGGGAAAATATCTCATTTCTGAGAAAAAATACAAAAACTGCATTGTAAGATAACACTAATATGTAAAACCTAAGATTTTGGTTATTGGTCTTCTGAATGCGGGCGGAGCCGCGGGCTATGCTAGTAAGAAATATATGTAATACTAGCGACTCACCCTCGCTTTGTTCGGGTTCGTCCCTATACATGTACATTTTTTTCCCTGAATATTTTATCGATGTTTCAATTATTAGTTATTTTGCTATTCGAGACGGAGACTAATCTAACAAATCAACGATCATGAAAATCGGTCCAGCCGTTCTTGAATTATAAATGGTGTAACTAACCCAACTTTATTTTATATTTATAAATACTTAAAGATAATAAATAATAATAAATAAATATGTTGGGACATTAACACAGCTACTAACTAGATGCAGCTATTAACTAGATGAGTTCCATTATAAGCTACGAGGGCTGTGTTATGGATACCAGATAGTCGATACACTACACATATATCAGTTTAAAATAGATGGCATGACTGCGGTACCAACAATCGTGCTCATCACACAAATGAATACCCCCAGCGGGAATCGAAACCGAGACCACTGGCACAGCAAGTAGGGTCACAAACTGCAAGTAGGGTTACAAACTGAGCCAAACGTTACGTCAAATATTTTATTACTAATATTAAACGCTAGAAACTAGTATCAAATAATTGGAAATACAATTCTGATAAGTATAGACGAAAACGCAGTCTAATTTTGCTAATATTTTGGAAACATAAAATACTTCGTTTTAAAACAAAATTTCATAGGTTTTATATGAAGTTCAAATCATATTTTACGTCTGATTTTGAACTAGAGTGTGCCTACAGTTTTACCCGCATTTATTCGACGACATGTTTGGCTCAGTTGGTAGTGACCTTACTTGCTGTGCCAGCGGTCGCGGGTTCGAGTCCCGCTGGGGGCATTCGTTTGTGTGATAAGCACGACTGTTTGTACTCCAGTCATGGGTGTTTATATTTATAATATGTATTTAAAGTTATATATGTATAATGTATCAACTATCTCAGGGGTGGCCAACTTGATTAGACCCAAGATCGACTTTTTACTTACCAATCCCTGTGCGATCTACCATACAATATTTATACAAATATTTCTTAAAATTTTAAATGAAACAGTCTAGTTCGAATGCAGTTGTTCAACACATTTCTTTAAATTTGGATATTTCTCGTTGGAAACCAATGCCCAGAAATCTAGATCTGAGGATAACCTTGCTTTAAGAAATATGTCGCAGCGTAGAGTAATAATTTCATTTTGTAACACCATGTGATCCATCTGAAATGTATCAGCAATTTTTTTAGCCATTTCATAAAAATCGCTATGAGAAATGGAATCATTAAATGGATAACTGATAAATTCCACCAATTTCTCAATTTTCTTAAAATCATTGAACCGATTTTCAAAGTCTAATTAATACCACTGCCTTAATCTCTGCTGTGTACTTATTAGGGATGAAATGGTAGGTAATATTTTTTTCCATGTGATCCTGTGTATTTGCAAATTTTTGAAATGTTTTCTTTTCGATGTCAACTATCATAGACGCTGTTTGACTCTGAAATGCTGCAACAGAACTCATCATTTCTATTAAAGTTTTATTTTTGCCTTGTAATTCCAGATTTAATGTGCTTAGTTTTCCAGTAAAATCTACTAAAATGCTAAATCACATTGCCAGTCTGAATCACGCAGTTGCTGATAATCATCACCTGTCTCTCCAAGAAATTTTATTAGTTCAACCAATAGATCTCGAAATCTTTGCAAAAACTTGCTTCGACTCAACCACCTTACGTCAGTGTGCAATGCCAAATCTGGTTCCTTTTCATCTAATTGCTGTTTAAAGAGCCGCCTTTGGAGAGATTTTCCTTTTATGGAATTTACAATCTTGAAAGAAATATCCATCACATGTTTTGTGTTTAGTCTCTTACTAGCCAGCACTTGTTGATGAATTATGTACGCGCTGCATTTGGTGAATACGTTGAGCAGTCTGTTATATATTTATATTTTTTGCATTGCCGCGATCGACTGGACTAATAGCCGCGATCGACCGGTCGATCGCGATCGACCGGTTGGCCATCCCTGAACTATCTGGTATCCATAGCACAAGCCTCGTAGCTTACCATGGAACTAGATGGCGTTGTGTGTTAATGTCCTGACATATTTATTATTTATTTATTTATTATTATATTGCAATTTACATTTTTGATCTAAGCCCTTACCTATAAAAAGTGTTATAAACACCTCTAAAGAAACTTAGAAGACTCTTTTTAATCATAAATAATAATTAATTGCAAATACTAAAAACGTTTAGTTTGCTAATATTTGAATTCCTTTTGTGCAAGTCATATAATATCTTTAAAACCCATAAAAATGATTACGGCCAGTGTTTCGTAAATGCAAGATTAAATAGCTATACTTTAATGGGAGTCATAAAGCTAGTGTTTGGACCTTCAATGCGGTTTAAGCCGCGACGTTTGAGTTATAGGTGCCTATTGTGCTCACTCGTTGGACTCTTCTTTCACTAAAAATTACTAACCGCTTATACATTTGACATATAAAAATTTTCTTTAAAATTTTTTTTTTCGACTTTTGTATTTATATTATATAATTATTATAATTATATAATTTCTCACTCCCACTTCTCTTAATCTTATTTATAAAACATCACACATGAATCTATATATATAATAAAATTCTAACTAAGCCGAATCTGTACTTTAAATATTTTTTGGAATCTTATTGAATAGTCAATATTATAGATATAGAGGACGATTCTATAGTTTTTTGAATTATTGTCTGCCTGTGTGTCTATCTGGAACCGCATCACGGGAAAATCACTGGACAGATTTTGATGTAATTTGATAAGATGATAGCTGGTCGTCCGGATCAACATATAGGATACTTTTTCTTCAAGTTTAATTTTCAATACAGAAAGTAGCCTATGTCCTATCCTATAGGTCCCATCTATCTCTATACCAAAATTCATCATTATTGATTCAGCGGCTTAGGTGTGAAAACGTAACAGTCATACAGACAGACATAGCTACTATAGCATTTATAAAATTTTGATCAAAAATAATTTTCAACAGATTGGAGCTGAAGACCCGAAGAAGGGAATCGTACGCCGATCCTTAGCCAGACTCGTGCGCAGCGTTCGGAATAAGATTAGCGGCAAACGCCGAGCTAAGCCCCAAGACCGCTTCTTGGACAAATTTGCGGCAAAAACATTCGATGACCCCGAAGAACCCATCTACCAACCTACAAGATGCAAAATGTTCTGCGGTTATAAGCTGGCATTCGATCCAACTAAGCCTTATCATTACTATGTAAGTATTAATTGCTTGACCATATTCATTTTAGAATATTATTTGTGCCTTTATCAAAATACATCTAATACTAGCGACTCATCTTTGCTTCGCTCGGGTTCGTCCCTAGGTTCGTTTTACGATTAGTGTGGAATAGATAGATTATATATTATTTGATATATAACCTTCCTCAATAAAAGGGCTATCTAATGCAAAAAGAATTCTTCAAATCGTATGAGTAGTTCATGAGATTAACACGTTTAAACAAACAGACGAAACGAACGAATTAACAAGCAGACACTGCCTCTTTATAATATTAGTATAGATTATAGATAAATAGTAATATTTTTTGTATATGAATAATTTGATCAAAGAGTAATGGTTAAACTCCACATCTTTTTAATTTACTTTTTTTTCTATATTGTTTTTTAAAATAGTTGCTCTTCAGAAGGACAAGCCTGCTTTAAGATATACTTCTTGAGGAATTTTGTTTATATTATTTTTATAACGAAGTCACGAAATTTTATAATAATGTTGCTGATATCAAAGAAAATATTACATACAAACATATTGAATTGCCCACTCGTGCCCACGACATTTACTAATTGTACGATATTCTTAGTTTTTACTGCCTCGCTAGTCGGTGGACACATCCGGAGGTTCTGGGTTCGAGTCCCGGGTCGGGGCAAGTTTAGTTATTGAGTGTTTCTATTAAGTAAGCCTCAGTAAAAGCCCGGAGTTAGGAAGTTGGCGGTCACCCCCGTACACGCACTAAAGCCGTCGGTCATGTGCCTTAACTCTCACTGGTCGTGTCGAGCAGTCGTCCCACCGGATTATGAGAGTGACAGGAATAGAGAGTGCACGTTGTGTCTGCGCGTACACTTGTGCACTATAATATCTCCTGCGCAGTTGGCTAGTCTCAATGAGATTGGCCGCCGTGGCCTAAATATGAGAGGACATTACTATATTATTATTATTATACACAACTAAAAATATAATTTCATTTGCAGAGCGCCATTCAAAATAAAACCGTCAAATATAATGCAAAATGTTACATTTTTTAAAGAAATATTTTAACTTATCTACTCGTATCTCTTATATTTACCGATAACATTTCTATAATGTAAAACACTTCAAGACCAAATGCATCGCCTGCTTGCTACTCGTACAAGTGTCAACACGCGTCATCGACATAAGTAAAAGTCCAATCGAACGTAAATACAGTATACGGAAAGGTTCTAAAAATTTTGATCAAACTTCGTATATATTTTAACAAGTAAATTTAAAAAATTATATTTTAATAAAACAACTTTTTTAGCCCGACTTAATACGTTTCCATGTAAAAAGAGTTTTTATTGTCTTTTAAAATGCTATTTACTGAACTTATTAAAATTGCCTAATTAAAAATCACATATTATCTCGAGAGAAAACATCGACAAGATAAAAAATATTACATGTATTGATCCTGAATATAGTCAGACAGACTAGTAATAAAAGTTTCACCCAACGCGAAACAAACAGCCGAACACCTTGAATAATGATGTTCTCCTGACCGATTCCGGCTACGGCGGCCAATCTCATTGAGACTAGCCAACTGCGCAGGAGATATTATAGTGCACAAGTGTACTCGCAGACACAACGTGCACTCTCTATTACTGTCACTCTCATACTCCGGTGGGACGATTGCTCGACACGACCAGTGAGAGTTAAGGCGCAGGACCGACGGCTTTACGTTCTCTCCAAGGCACGGGGGTGAAACACCGCCAACTTCCCAACTCCGGGCTGTTACTGAGGCTCATAAAGAAAGACTCAATAACTAAACTTGGCCCGACCCGGGACTGGAACCCAGAACCTCCGGTGTGCAGCCGTACATGCTAGCCACTACACCACCGAGGCAGTAAATAATGGAATTCCAGACGGACATTTCCTGAGCCAATTTTGATAAAGTTTTGAACAATGTCAATATTAATTATCAATTAATCTTGTATTAAGCCCTCTTTATAGGCAGTGGTAGCCCAGTGATAACACGCTCGCTAGGAAAATTAAGTGAAGCGGGTTCAAATCCCGGGTCTCGCACCTCTGATATTTTCATGTGACAATCATTTCTAACATGATTACCACTTGTCTCACGGTGAAGGAAAAATTCGTGAGGAAACCTGCATGTCTGAGAAAACCTAGCAAGTTTTCGAAAAACATATGAAGTCCGCCAACCCGCTTTTGGCCAGCGTGGTGGACTATGGCCTGATCCCCCTCGTATTGAAGGGGGGCCCACCCCCAGCTGTGGGACGTTAAAAAGACTGAACTCAATTAATCTTATCAAATATTCTTTTAACAGTGGCTAGCAGTGGTATCACTGGCGATTCTCTACAACATGATATTTGTGATTGGCAGAGCCATTTTTTGGCACATGAAGGGCGCATGGTTTTGGTATATCATTGACTATATCTGCGACGGCATCTATGTTATGGATACTGTGGTCCATATGCACGAATGTAAGTGTCACATAAAAACTGTTATTCTAAATATTATTTTCATCGTATTTATTTTTCAAACCGCAAAACTTGCGAATGCTATATTTAAAAATGTACTAACTGCAAGCGAATTTCAAGATATTGTTAATAAGAATTCGCTATAGACTAAAATTTTAATTATAAATTTAATATTAGTTTATTTCTTGTGCTTTACATAATTTTAGGTTATAAATTTTTGATTCTAACTAGTCTTGCCATTGGCTGTTCACTAAAATACTATTTGCTAATGCAAATATTCAAATGATAAATTAGACAGTAAGTATATAGACACTTATCTCTTCTCAAACGTAATCAGTTTAAACATTTCATACATCTATTTTCTTTCACAGTAGGAGTAGTAGTAATAGTAGTATTGAGCCATAATCATTTTCAAAATCATATTCGGACATAAAAATGCTTAAAATCCATTCCCGTTCCATATCATTTGGCTCCGTAATATATTGAAACTTGTTAACATATGTGTAAGGAATTTAAGATTTAAGGTGAAGGACTTGTAAGGGAAACCAACAGTGATACCCACGCGGGCCGCGCCTTGCGTCATCAAATTTAGCTAAAGCATGTACAAACAGCCCACCCAGCCTTCACTTTCCGCCCAAATACGAATCGACCCGATCGGATTATAGTCCAAATGCTAACAGCATTATCACATAGATACATTAACACTCATCTCAATTCAGCATTACAATATAACTAATACAGAAACACTAAAACAAATCTATTCTACGGGAACCGTACTTTTTCCGAAATATAAAAGTATCCTATGTGCTATTTCAGATTACAATCTGTCTCTGTGTCAAATTTCATCCAGATCTGTTCAGCCGTACTGGCGTGAACGAGCAACAAACATCCGAGCATCTAAACTTTTACATTCATTATATTAGTATAGATAGTAGAAAGGAATAATAAACGAATATATTAACATGCATTTTAAGACTTTTAGTGGTCGCTATAATGTAATTATGACATTAAATTTTCGACTAGCGACTTAACATCGATCCGCTTGGGTGCGTCCCTAGGTATGTTTAATTTTTTTAAGCGGAAGCATAATTCTTTTTCTAAAATAAAAGTAGCATAAGTTACACCTTATAACATCAACTATCTGCCAGTAAAAATTCTGTCAAAATCAGTCCAGCCATTTCGCACATTAGCCAGAACAACAAACAGACAGACAGACAAAAATTTAAGAAAATGTGTTTTACTTATAAATACCGTATATAATTTCATATGCACTCAGTAAAAAGCTTTTATTTCGACATTACCAACAAACACTTCAATTTTAGTTTATAATATTCTATAGATTTAAATTTTTTAACCGCGGCTTGACTGCCATGGTCAGTGGGATGGCAACAAAAATGAGTCTTTTAGTCCCCATGATGAAAATTTTCTTGCCAAGTGTTATGGTAATCTGTTCAGATTTGTAATGTTAGTGAATATGGTTATAAAATAGGACAGCCTATTGTACCTAGGCCAGTTTATTACATGTCCGTTCTTAAAGATTAAATAATATTTTAAATAAAACTATCTATTCTGATTATTACGGGGATTTATTTTGATTTTTCACTTATACGTAACTTATAACGTACTCCTTATTAATCACAATTACTTAAGTAATTTTATTTAAAATAGGAATATACGCTTAACTATAATAATGTACTTTATATCAAAAATATTTCAAGGAAATTCGTAAGATTTATTTTGTTTTTAGGCTACCTCGAGCAAGGACTTATGGTGAAAAAGGCCGAGATGCTACGTCTTCATTACCTGAAATCAAGTTTTTGGCGTTTAGACCTCATCTCCGTGATACCGACCGACTTAGTTTATTACTGGTGGGCACCTGGATCTTGCAGTGCTGTAAGTGATTAATTTTGTATTAGACAGAAAGCTTAATCTGTAGCCACTCGTTTAAGCTTTAACTTGACACAAAATATATTTATAAACAACCACCGATCTTACTATCGGTTCGATTGGATTCATTTATAACAGTATGCCTATTGAGTAAAATTAACGATTGTTACTTCCTATATTTTATTATTTACTTATAATACTATTTACTGTAGGTACATAGAATACCATTTTTGATTTTGGAAGTATCAAACGATTATATACATACTTTACGAATTGAACACGTCACTGATCGACACGGTCAAGTCACTTGAACGAGTCGCGTAACTTACATTTCTATTTTTACTTATGAATTCATATTGCTTACAAAGGTACAAGCTGAGTCGTATGAAACAACACTAAGTATTCCGACCAAACACATTCTTCAACTTTGTTATTGGACAAATTGTCAATATTGGTTTTGGTTCCAGGACAGTTTGCCGTGCCCCATTATTGTACGGCTCAATCGACTATTGCGCTTGCCTCGAATGTGGGAGTGGTTCGACCGTACCGAGACGGCGACAAGCTACCCCAACGCCTTTCGAATTTGCAAGGTCAGCTATATTTAGCCGTACTAATCTATTAATTCCAAAAACACAATAATTTATACTCAACTACCTCCCATTTTCAGGTCGTTATGGGTATTTTGGTGCTCATACATTGGAATGCGTGCCTCTATTTTGCTATCAGCTACGCGATTGGCTTTGGTACTGACAACTGGGTCTATAATATAACCGGATCTCGTAATGAAACTTTAGCTCATCAGTACATATATAGTTTCTATTGGTCGACTTTAACTCTTACGACCATTGGTGAAACGCCTCAGCCTGAAATTGATGCTGAGTATTTGTTTGTCGTAGCTGATTTTTTAGCAGGTGTCCTCATTTTTGCCACTATTGTCGGCAATATAGGTTCGATGATTTCAAATATGAATGTAGCAAGAGTTGAATTCCAAAATAAAATGGATGGTGTCAAACAATATATGGCTTTTCGTAAGGTTAGTGGTGAGTTAGAGGCCAGGGTTATACGTTGGTTTGCGTACACTTGGGCGGAGAGTGGTGCTTTAGATGAGGAAAATGTTCTGTCGTCTTTACCAGATAAATTGAAGGCCGAGATTGCTATTCGCGTACATTTAGATACTTTGCGGAAAGTGAGGATATTTCAAGATTGCGAGCCTGGACTGTTAGAAGCTTTGGTACTAAAATTACGTTTACAAGTCTTTAGCCCTGGTGACTACATCTGCCGTAAAGGAGATGTGGGCAAAGAAATGTATATCGTAAAGCGTGGTAGGCTACAGGTCGTCGCTGATGATGGTCATACAGTTCTCGCTACATTGAGTGCTGGCTCTGTATTTGGAGAAGTTAGCGTTTTAGAGATCGCTGGTAACCGTACTGGTAACCGGCGCACAGCTAACGTTCGCGCTCTAGGATACTCTGATTTGTTCTGCTTGGCTAAGCGGGACCTATGGGAAGCACTTGCAGATTATCCAGATGCTAGAAATACTTTGACTGAACGTGGTTGCCAGCTCCTACGAAAGGTATAGTTGGATGAAAATCATTTGCATCTAACGTTTTGTTCCCGATTAACCAATAAAAAATAGAGGCTTTAATATTTGTATAAAAAGGCATTTCGGATAATAAAATTTACATGTGATTTTATTTTTTTACGATCTAATTTCAGGACGGTCTTTTAGACGAGACCGTTTTCCAAAACGCCCAGAAGACGCATCAAAGCCTTCAAGAGTCCGTGCGCCAGTTACAAGCAAGCGTTTATGCGCTAGAGCATCACATCCGTAGTGTAATGGCTAACATTACTAAGGAGCAGGAAATGATCAAGGAGCGAATAGAACAAATCGAAGCGCAGTACGTTAAAAATTTTATTTATATCCTAATTTATATCTACACTATCACTATATTTTTTTCTCACTTTCTCTATTTTAAAATGCGAAATTTCTCGATATGACTTAAAATGCGTTGCAAAGCGAATGGTCTATTTTATATCATGTCAATGTGATAATTATATTATATATATTAAAGTGTGCGAGTAAAAACGACTTTAGTTTTATAAAAGTAACAAAAATACCATAATGTGTGAACCTGTAGCAACTCTATAAATTGATTTAAAAACTTTATTACAACGTGATAAATGCAACAGCGCTGTAAGAAATGTTCTCAGCTACTATTAACTCAAAAACTTATTTCCAGATTTCTCCGTCTATATCGTAAGGGTTGTTTTCGATCAAGTGGTAAAAAGTCATCTAAAAAAGTATCAAAACCCAAAGAGGCTGATCTAACAGTGAAAGAACCTCCACCAGTCAAAGAGCACATTGAAGAGATTACTATTGACCTGGAAGACCCAAACGAAAATGTCGTTGTAGAGCTACAAGAAAACGCTGCTAAAGAAGAATGTAACGAATTAGCTACTGAAGAAGACTTGAACGAATTCGCTGCAGAAGAATGTAATGAAAGCCCCGAAGAACCTAATGAGAGCGCTGGTGAAGGTCAATCTAGCGTTGAAAATCTCGTAGAAATTGTTACTGAAGAAGTAAAGCAAAATGTTATTCCTCAAGAGCGACCTAGTCGGGAACGTGGACACTCACTTACTGTGGAAAGTACTCCTATACTGCCAATTGTAATTGGGGTGAGGAGCACGTCCCTACCTCTTAAAAGTCAAACACGTTCAACTGAGAAAACTACGAAAAAATCGAGTATGAAGTAAGAAGAGTAAAAAAGAAGAACTCGCGGACTAATACCCTTACTGGAAAATTAAAATTATTTATATTTTTATATCTTTCTTATATTTTGAATTTAGGAACCATTATTTTTTTCAATTTTTAACAAATGAATTATACTTCAATACTTCAATAATTTTATGTGTTAGCTAAGATGGGAGTAATATGTCTGTCCCATCACTATTTTATGTTATTAATATTAATTGTAATATTATTAAAAACCAAAGATTGATATGCTCATAGTACGCGATTATTTAATGAAAAATTTTGTTCTACACGTTGGTCAATGGAGTGTGGCTTTAAGGTATATTGTAACGATTTAAGAAAAATCGTCGAAACATTTACAATATAATCTATATCAACAAAGTAGTTTAATAGTTTTAGAAATGTATTTTCTTTTTTAAATGTCTCGATTGCCAAAATATTACCAAAGTTTTACTGCAGAATATGGTACACTTATAGTCCAATACATATAAACTCAGTCGACGTGATAAGAGATGCTGTAAGTACCACTCCTTCACTACCAGACTTCTTATCATGTTGGTGTCCTCTTAATTTAGATTAATCTAAACGTTAGTTAAGTCGATGTTAACATATTAAAATAGAATGTATATCTACTGTTAATGCTAAATACCATCCTATTCTATGGGTTTTAATGCCAAATTTTAATAATTTATCGATAGTAAAGATCTCAGAAAAATTATTTTGAAGAATAAATAAATATGTTGACACACTGATAGAATATATAGAATTTGAAGAACTTTACATTTCTATTGTCTTTTCCTTTCGTCTTGTATTGTTTTAATGAATCCTTTACTTGTTAGAAGTTAAGACCAATTTTATTATAGACATATTTTAGGAATTATATACATACATGTATTTTAGATATAAGACATGATCTAGGAACGAATTTCGACACCGACGGGTTTACAAGGTTATGTGGTGCGGAATTTTGAAAAGATTACATTTTTAATCAATATATCGATGTTAGTAGATTTCTAAATGTTGACATATTTAATCACATATACTATAAATTGTAATATAAACATACTAGCGACTCACCCTCGCTTCGCTCGGGTTCATCCCTGGGTTGAAATCATCTCTTAAGGGATGATTTCCGGGATAAAAAATATCCTATATTCTTCCCAGTGTCTCAATCTATTTTCTTACCAAATTTCATCTGAATCAGTACAGTAGATCCAGAGATTACCCCCTACAAAGTTACAAACTCACAATCTCACAAACTTTACCTCTTCATAATATTAGTACCTATAGAATAACTAACGCGGGGTATCTTGTCTTCTATATCCTGGACAGATTTTGATGAAATTTAGTATGATTATAACTGGTTATCCGGGTCAACATATAGAATACTTTTACTAAACTTAACTAAGGACGAATTCGAGCAAAGCGAGAATGAGTCGCTAGTTGACTATATTTCCTATCTAAGCTCAAAGAGCTTTCAAAGGACCTTTCTTCCTAACTATGCGAGCCCCGTGTCTATAAATTAGCAGGTAACAGGTATATAAAACTGTCCTTATGTAAGAAAATTAAATCTATATTTATTTATGAAATTTACCCTTTTAAATATATCTTTAGACACTATATACATATCTTTCGTAAATATTTATAGTGAGAATTTCTAAACTTATTTTGTTTCATTTGTCCTACTACTATGTCAATTTTGATAAAAAAATGTTAATTTCTACATTATTATTATTATTATATCTTTTTTATAATTGTTAGACGATATTTGTATAGATTTAATTAGATTTTAATATTGTTATTATTTTTTAAATTACTGATATTCCGATACTATATTTTTTTTATATACCTATACCAAAATCACTTAGTCTTATTATACCAATATCAGAATATAACGTAATACAGTTGACGTTTAAAGAGTGTTTAATGAATAATACAATGTATATCGATGTAATAGATCTGATTCAATACTGTATCTTCTTGATGTTTAAATAAAGAGAAAATTTTAATTTTATTTTATTAGCTCGTCGACCGATTCACGTTATTTTGTTATATATATATATATATATATATATATATATATATATATATATATATATATATATATAGCCTTGAGAAATCAAGAATCTATATGGAAAAAAGAGAGAAATCTACTGTGTTGTACAGTTTTCACTTTTAATTCTACGTAATCTGTACTATTATAGTACGTGTTGGCAGTAAATAAATAATAAATATGTTGGGGCGATAACGCATAGCACCATCTAGTTCCATGGTAAGTTACGAGGCTTGTGGTATGAATACCAGATAGTTGATACACTACATATAGATAACTTTGAATACATATTGTTAATATAAACACCCATGACTGGAGTATAAACATTCGTGCTCATCACACAAATGAATGCTCCCAGCGGGACTCGAACCCGCGACCGCTGGCACAGCAAGTAGGGTCACTACAAACTAAGCCAAACGTGTCTACACAGTACAGTAGATTAAAGGTTTTATCTAATCCAGTGGAAAAGTAATTAAAATTAGACATTTCTGCTAGTAGAACTAGCAGAAAGCTATGGTGATAGCTGGTTATCCGGGTCAACATATAGGATACTTTTTACGATGGGAAAATGTCTCATTTCCGAAAAAAAATACAAAAACTGTAATGTAAGAGTATACTAATATGTAAAACCTAAGAATTTGGTTTTTGGTCATTTGAACGCGGGCGGAGCCGCGGGCAATACTAGTATATAAGTATAGGTTCGGTGTTAACGGAATAGTAAAAGGGCAAATAAAACTAAAGTATTACCTCAGATTGACTTTATTGAGTTGAATAAAATTTATTACTCAAATTAAGCAAATTAACATATTTAAACAAAATATTGAGAGTGAACAACAAAATCACGTACTTAGATATCTACCATACACTAACACCGAGAAATCGATCCACACTTTTATTGTCACATTAAGACTCAAATTATATCGAGAGTGCATTTATTTTGCTAGAACATAGCAATGCTTAGAAACATCATATTTACTCCAAGAATAGTCCAAGTTTTGGACGAAACTAACATATAGATAATCCTTAAACAATGGCAATCACATTTTAAATCAACCACAGTTCACAGGGCTTATTGAAGTCTTCATATAAGCTTCATACAGAAACTGGAGAACAAACTATACAGATTTATGACTAAGAAAACTAGATTAAAATTTAATTTACCTACATATAAATAACAAGCATTTGAAAGTACAGTGAAATTGACATGAAATCTTACATAATGTAAATGGCGTAACGTGACTAACTATCGAATCTGCGAATATGCAAATCGTGAGGAATGCTTTACCGTATTGTTAGAGATCCGAAAAGGTACAAAATAGATACATATATAAGTTCAAAAGAGGGTCCCATAGAGATAAATTCTGAGAAAACAGCCACCGATTGTTACAGAAACTACTTTAATATCAATAACAAATATCTATTATTACTAACTAACCCTGTACCCCGCTCATATAAAGGAATAATATTTTAAAAATATTTTTTTCTAACAATTAGCAGTCCCATTTCTAAAATTTGTTAATTTAATATTTTTCTTTTATTTTCTTTATAGAAGACTGCTAAAAAGCTTGTGGGTACTGGTCTTTACAGCAAGTGTTTACGCGAACTTGATATATCAACACAGAAAGCATGTAACATGGAGAATTTATTAAGTGTCTAACAGACAAATATCTATAAGCAGATATTTAGCTCAGCTATATGCGTGAACTTAGAAGTAACCGATATAATACTATCGGTGGGATGCTTTAGAAGTTATTCCACATTCCTCCATTTCATTTTCAATCTTAATTCTAACATTTACTACCACATCAAAATATTACACGTCTAATAAAATAGCTGAGCCACAAAAATTAAAAGTTTACATGAAACACTTTGAATATGATGTTGCATTTGACAAGATGCTGGACGACGACTCCTCTTTCACACCAACTGGAAACAAATGTTGAACATAAGATATAATACTTTCTTAGTACTTTCTTAGAATTACGCGAATATTTGACATCTATACATATAATAAAATTGTAACAAAGCCGAATCTGTACATTAAATGTTTATTGGAAAATCTTATTGAAATAGACATTATTATCGATACAGAGGCCGAATCTATAGTTTTTAGAATTTTTGTCTGTCTGTCTGTTACCGCATCACGAAAATACCACTGGAGGGATTTTGAGAATTTCATCAATCATAATTTTAGTATATATTATTATATTTAATATATAAATAAAAATAAAACTATCTTTTCAGATTTTTTCGCGGATTTCACGGGAGAGGGTGTGCGTAAACTTATCTTCCAAAAAGAACATACGGGGTAGCGCCTAGATCGTTAACCAGCCTAGATTTAAGTTGTTAAGAATATCTCTCGTCGAACCAAAAACGTCGGAAATCAAAAATCAAAATAAATCCGCGAAAAAATCCGACAATATAGTTGTATTTAAAATGTCAAATATTCGCGTAAATTTAAGAAAGTATTAGACGAAGTGTAGTATATATGTATACCTTCAGGCCAGAATGAAAATCTTCCAGTTGCATCAGACGATGTAACAGCATCGTGTCGTCGTGGTGGTGAATAGCTGCTGGTGGGCACAAAGCCCGCGCTAGGGCTTGGAGAACCGCCTGGAATTCATTGAAATTTATCATGAAAATATTTCATTCATAATCCTTACCTATAAAATAAATAACAAAAAAAAAATGTGTGTATATAGGTGCTATGTACGCACGTAAAAAGATATACTTCTTTGGCGCAACAGAAAGAAAATAGTTAAAGATTTCATCATCTGGAAGATATCATTATACTACACAAGCGTTTTCGCTAAAACCGATGCATCTACCATCTCTTAACTATTTCCATATTATTTGATTTTTATAGACAGTAAGCCGACACGATCAACGAAAAGAATTTCGTCCTTAAACTTCGAAAAGCTGTACCACTGTGACGATATATTTATCTTGGTTTGACTCAAACCGGATTCGAATCCGCGACCGCCTGATCTACATCGAAACTCTTAGATAAGCTATAGTTAAATCATTTTTAGCAGCTTTAATCTGTATTTATGATTACATTCATATATTATAGGTATATAAGATTTCTATATCTAGACACAATATGAGCAGTGAATGGCTCTTAATGAACAATATTCGTATGCATAACACGTATCGCCTGTAGCGCACTTCGAGTGTTACAAACATTGTAATTTACGTTGTATTTCAAAAACATATGTTATCTGTGTAAATATTTCATACTAATTAATTATTCATCAAAATAGTGGTAGACCATATATATAGTATATGTTACTTGCGACTCATTCTCGCTTCGCTCGTGTCGTCTCTAGGTGATTCTCTAAATTGAAATATCTTTTTTATCGCGCGCAAACGCACAGACAAACAGTTAATAAAGACCCCCCATTTATAATTTTTCTCAAATATCTTCTATGTATAGACAGCGATAAGTTACATTTTTATTATATATATATATATATATATATATATATATATATATATATATATATATATATAACAGAGAGCGGAAGCGACTTCTTTGAAACGTAAAGATATGATCTGAAACATACTAATCCATATATATATATATTTAGAATTATATAAACTAATCCATACTAAATCATATATATATATATATATATGGATTAGTATGTTTCAGATCTTCTTAGAATATTCCTAACACTATATCTTTACGTTTCAAATAAGTCGCTTCCGCTCTCTGTTCGCTTAGATCTTTTAAACTACTCAATGGAATTTAATGGAGTTTTCAGCAATAGATAGAGTGATTCAAGAGGAAGGTTTATATGTAGAATACATGCATATTATAGTACAGAAAAGCCGAGAAATTCAAGGATTTGTATTTGATACAAGCCGTTAAAACGTACTAAGGACGAAATTAATTTTTGGCTTAATTTTAATCACCAATTATTTGACTATACTAATTTTCTACGTATCAGTATTCAAATTAATTAACCGAAAAAAATGGGAGGAGGTTCTCGATTCGAGACGTATATATATTTTTTTGTTTGACCATGCGTAATTTTTATAGTGTAGGCCAATTTCGATAATTCTTTTATAATTTGAAATTTTTTTTAGGGATAATTGATTTTTAAAATACTTTCTTCTCATTTTTCTACTACTATAAAAAAAATAATAAAAAACCGACTTCAAAAAAAAAGCACTAAAAATAAAAAAATGGTAGTTTTCATTTATTAAAGATAGATCAGATATTTTTAACAGCTAGCCGATATAAATGAAAGCAAGATTTTTTTGAAGTCGGTTTTTTTTTAGTTTTTATTTAAAAGTCAGACGCTACAAGTAGCGCCATCTTTATACATTATTAGCATTCAATGCAACGCCACCTACTATTTTTTTAGGTCTCAATTAAGGTTTGTTTTTATATCGCCTATGCTAGTGTTTATTTTGGTTTTGTGTAAATGACAATAGGTGGCGGTAGTAGTTGCTAAGAGTATATCAGTATAGCATCTATGGTACATAGATGTCGCTAGCTGTCTGCTTTAGAATGATGCTTTTGCTACTTAATCTTACTACGAGTACTATTATAAATGCGAAAGTTTGAATGGATGTTTGTTACTCAACACACCAGAACTGAAGAACGGATCTGGATGAAATTTGGCACAGGAATGAGAAAGCTTATGGTTTATTTAATATTTATAAATTATATTTTCCTATTATTAATTACTATTTCCAAAAGAAAAATACGATATTAAGAAAAAAAATAATCGGGATAATTTTGGACTAGAAAATTTTTTTTTGACATACGATATTATTAAAAGTAAGTAAATATGTACTATTCTGATCTTTCTATTTACAAACTTTTCAGGTATGAATGTAGTTAGAAAGTTATTTTGTATTAAGGGCAATATACAGGAAGCAAGTATTTTGCTGAGGGATAGTCTAATGAAATACGGTGCGGTCCATAGCAGGAGTTCCCAATCAGGGGGCACGCCCTACCTAGGGGGGCATAGAGTTTATTTTGTAAAACTTAAAAATAAATATAATTGAATTCATTAAAATAATGTGTTTTATTATAATAATAATAAAATAAAGGGGGGCATGAAAATATTTTTTATAATCCGGGGAGGTTCAACAGAAGAATGGTTGGGAAACCCTGGTCTATAGTATTATTAATTAGTATAATAATTTATCAATTTTAATTATATACATACATGTTATAATTTTTATTTTAAGTTTCATTTACTTGCCAGGGGATAATTTTTTTCATAGCGGTCAGATTGAGAAAGCTTCTCTATATATAACGAGTATGTAACCCAAAATTCGAGCCATCGATAAAAAACTTTCGGGAGCATTGCACAAAAGAACATTTACAAAATTATTTATTACAAACATATTTATTTACAGATCACATGTATGTATGTACTAAGGTTTGACCGAAACCTACCTTCGGGCCAGAAAGAAAACCGCGAGACAGCCGCATCAGATGACGACACGATGTCGTGATGACGTCCTGGTGAAAAACCACCTGTGGCTGCGTATCCAGAGCTTGGACTGGACGAACCATCTGTAATAACATCATAGTGTTATTAAAAAAAAACTATCTTTTCGGATTTATCTCTTTTTTTTATATATTTTCTTATCACTTATTATATATAATTAATTATGTATTTAGACGACACGTTATAGTTTGTAGTGACCCTATTTGTTGCGCCAACGGTTGCGGTTTCGGGATCCGCCGGGGCAATTCACTTTGTGATTGTAATGTTGAATGTTTGCACTTCATTCATGGGTGTTTATATTTATAATATGTATGTATTTAAAATTACATATGTGTAGTGTATCAACTATCTGGTATCCATAACACAAGACTCGTAGCTTACTATGGTACTAGTTAATAGATGGTGCTGTGTGTTTATTTATTTATGTATTAAAACCTATTAATAACATAGCTTCACTCAAGTTTTAGCTACAAATTACAATATTTTAATGTGTGGTGGATCACTAGGCTTTTATAGAATTATCCTCTTACGCTGAATCGGATACTTTAATTAGAGGTGACTACAGACTAAGTAGTGACCTGAAAATGTTAAGACCGGTGTCTCTATATGAGTGTATAGACCGAGTGTAGTGTATCAACTATATGAGTGTTTATTGCCCGATTTCATCAACATCCCATAAGCTACCACCTACGTATGAGATCCCCAGCTTAAAAGTTCCCCTTAACTAACCCCTAAATTAAATTTCATTTACCATAGTCAGAGCCCGTATTTCTAGTACCTATATTTAGGTGGCATTTTTATATATATTTTTTTTAATTTTTAGGTGATCCCTAACTGTCGGCGAAACAGAAACTTTCCCCTAACAGCCCCCTAACCATGCTTAGGGGATCCCTTAAACTCAGGTGACGTTGGTGAAATTGGCCATATAACTTCAAAATTAGAGATACTCACGTTTACGCAGAGACACTCGGTTTATACCCTTAGCGTACCGTGTAAAATGTCTTAGTGTAAACTGGCCATAGTTTCAAATGCTTACGCAATTTATGGCTAGAAACTCGTAATATAGGTGAGGTTTAGTTTTCGTAATTTTTTTCTTAAGAACATTTTTTATATACATATATTTATGGTATGGTACACATTTATTCATTGTAAATATAATATTAAACTCAAAATTTTCTCTATTCCATAGACAAATTACATTCTTACCTAAATTGGGAACGTTGATGTTGTAGGTGTTCATGGACATAGGCTGCATCGACTGTAGCGGGCTTTGAAGCTGCAAGGAGTATTAAAAAAAATGTAATAAGACAAAACTCTTTAAAACTATTATTATTCTTTTGCAGTTTTGATAGTTGATTACAGCCATAAATACTCTTCGTCTCCCCCTCTCTCCCTCTCTCTCTCTCTCTCTTTCTCTCTATGTTATTTTCAATAGAATTTTAAAGCCGAGATAGAAAATGAACTGCAGCCGTCAAATGTTAAGGAATAATTACGGACTTTTAAATCGCTATTAATATTAATGGTAATTGTTTTGTTATTTATGTACGTACTATCGACTCAACCTCGTTCCTCTCGCGTTCGTCCATAGGAACGCTTTGACGATTAATATAGATTTCTCAGAGATTAAATATTTTCCCGCAGTAAAAAGTATCCTATATGTTGATCCGGATACCCAGTTTTCATCATACCAAATTTCATCAAAATCCGTTCAGTGGTTTTTTCGTGATGCGTTCCCAGACAGATAGACAAAAATTCTAAAAACTACATTCATCATGTATAGAAGGAAGACCCTTGCCCAGCAGTGGGACATTAAAATGCGTTGAATACAAGACATTTTTTTATTAATGGGCAATTTAAATTAGAATCAAATGCTACAAACGAACATAAAACACGCCATGCCATTTCATTGTGAATGAAATCGTAAAACACTCCAAAAAGCAGTATAGCATTTCCAAGGAAAATTATTTTGTACATTAACGTACAGTAAAAAAGTACTCGTATATGAAAATATATCAATTGATTGAGTTTTCTTAGTTTTACTAATTTATTATATAATACTAGAAAAACAATTAGAAATCTATCCCTTGGGAATCGTATATGTTTCCGGGATTAAAAGTAGCCTATATGTTGTTCCAGACTATAATTTATGTCTGTGCCAAATTTCATCCAGTTCCATTTAGCCGTTCTGGCGTGAAAGAGTAACAAACATCCATACGTCCATACTCACAAACTTTCACATTTATAATATTATCTAGTATAAATTACATACTCATACATTTTAAAATAGGCAGTGGTAGCCCAGTGGTAGCGCGCTCTCTTGGGAAACGGAGTGAAGCGGGTTCAAATCCCGGGTCTCGCACCTCTGATATTTTCATATGCAAATCATTTCCAACATGATTACCACTTGTCTTAACGGTGAAAGAAAACATCGTGAGGAAACCTGCATGTCTGAGAGAACCTAGCAAGTTTTCGAAAGATATCTGAAGTCCGCCAACCCGCATTTAGCCAGCGTGGTGGACTATATATGGCATGATCCTCTTCGTACTGAAGGGAGGCCCGTGTTTGGTAGTAGTAGGGCCTTAAAATGGGCTGATTACCTACATATACACATAAGTACATTTTTAAATCGATTTATTCATTCAATTTCATTCTTCCTCATAATAAATTTAATGTATGTCATATCGTTGAATTTGTCCAAGTTATGATTGTAGCAATTTGCAATAGAGCGGTTTACGGCCTGTTGATACGCTAGTAAAAGTTTAATCTCGACGTGATTACAGCTACGAACCTATAAAAATAATATGCGTACGCGCAACACCGTTTGTATGGTAGCAATGAGTCTAGATTAAACGGGATATTCTCTAGTTTTATGAATTATATGTTATAGGATGGACACTCTAACTTAACTAATTGGTCGATTTACATATGTATCTATCTTTAATATCTATATCTATATAAACTCGTCGCCTTAGTACTTATTTATCCAAATGATTAATTTATCAAAGGAGTTTTTAATATGGAATTATAAAGTCTTAAACGTCAATTCTATTGGTACAATTATTAATTAATACATATATGTACTTAGAAATAAAGTTTGTCTTTTAAAATACAGAAAAAAAGCTCTCTACTGTTTGAAGAAATATGCACTGAGCTATCGACTCGTAGATATTTATATCAGTCTTATAGATGTTAATTTATCTAAATATTAGTGTATTGATAGAAATAACCTCTAAAAACCACAAATCAGTACGTGAAAGTGCTTGCTCATGCTTATTACTTCTTGCCTGCACACCACAATAATCAATTACCTATTGGACGAGTTTTAATAGAAATTTATGTATGTATTAAATTTTTTTGTTAATTTGTACGTTCCTTAGACCTAGTCTGTGTTTAAATATTAAAGACAGACGGATTTGTTCTTTTCTAATTATTTAAAATTACTATTTTTGTTTTTATAAATATGTACTAGCGACTCATCAACGCTCCGCTCGTTTAACGTTTAGTATAGATTTCTCATCCTATATGCTGACCTGGATTACCAGCTATCATTATACCAGATTTTATCAAAATCTGTCCAATGGCTTTGTTCAGACAGATAGACAAATATACTAAAAACTATAGATTCGGCCTCTGTATCAATAATAATGACTATTTCCATAAGATTTTCCAAAAAATATTTAATGTACAGATTCGACTCAGAATTTTATTCTTCTTTTTCTTCTCCCTGCCCATTTCCCAATCACTTGGGGTCGGCGCAGTACATCTTCTGTACTGCTGATAGGATTTGGCAAAAGTTTTACGACCGGCCGCCTGCCTGACGTCAACCCTCCTTGGGAATGCTATTGTCTCTCTTTGTCTGCATGATATCGCGGAAGTCTTGTAATTTGCACTTTCGATTTTTTTGTCTTTTAAAGCATTTTTTATACTATTACTTGTATTTTTAAATGTTATTTTCGGATATATTTTAAAATGAATTATGATTACACAAGAAAAGAAAAAAATTGACGTCAAAACAAAACGTCAATTTTTTTCTTTTTTCACGACTCAGAATTTTATTATATGTCTAAATATAGAGTAAGACATAGACTACTTTTAGGTAACTAGTGACGTACCTGAGCAAAGCCAGAGTAAGTAAGTTGGTTTATATTAAATATGAATTTTATTGTATAGCAGGATACTCACTTGCCCCTGTAGCTGATGTGTTGCGAATGGATTGACTGGAGATGTTTGATGCGGCAGAGCGGCGTGAGGCGAACATCCCGGAGGACTTCGACCCATAGTGCATCCGCCGGTATACCCAAGCCCACTAGTGGACTGTGTCAGCCATGAACTGTGGGCAAAAATACGTCTGCGTAAAATGTGAACTAAAACAAAAACTAAAAAAAAACGATTTCCAGGCACTAAAATGTAAAAAATAACTAAACGGAAGTTTTCATTTAGAATAGGTACCTAATCAGACTGGTACCCGTGACTTGCAAAACTAACGTGACTTGCTAAACTTGCAATTAAATGCTGTGTAATGTTTAAAATCTGATATCATGAACGAATTAACCACTGGACCAGACATATAAGCGGACGTACCTTTACCGGTCTTGTCAGTAACCAGGGAATTTGAGCCTTGGTCGTTTGTTTTTTGTGTCAGTCTCAAGCAATTACTTGTCAACAAAAGATCACCCAAAAATGACTAAATGTTCTATTAAATGGTGTTAAAACTATAACGGCGGAAGCAGCACTATTTCTTTTCACTTGTAAATACATTATTTTATTACATTTATTGTTATTTATCACAAAATTTAATTAAATGTAAAATAAAATGTCATATTATCCAACTATGTTAAATATAGTCGATATTTCTATGTATTGTTGACATCTGACAACCATCATAAAATGGCTGGATTATACCATTCAGAACAAATGACAAAACTGTCGAGTGAGTCCATTTGACATCGACTAGTGCTTGACAATGTCGAAAAATATATCGATATTTGACGAAATAACTGAACGAATTGTGTTATTTGTACAGTACAATAACATAAAATACTTTTATCACAGTATCCTACAATCTGATGACAATAAATTTATAAAAATATTTTCTAAATCAAATAAAAATATAAATTCAAAAATTATAATTAGTATGTGTACTTAATTTTTTTTTATTTTATACCACATTTATATACTTTGGAATATTATTCCATTGTAATAATAATAAAGATCATTTTATTTCAACACATAAATTACACAAAATCAAACAATAATGTTTTAGCACTAAACTTCTGGGTTGGCGATTTGTAATAAAACACTTTACCACTTGCACTAATTATTTTACTTTCACGATCCAACACTCACTTTTTCACAATTTGCAATCACTTTTTCTTTTTCCTAATTTCACAAATGTTTATTAAGAACTGAGCAATATTAGGACAGTGTCACATTTTTATAACTACCCGAGACAATCAATTGCCAATTAAAATAGTTCAATAACAGAATCAACAAAATCACTTTATTTAATTAAATTAGCTTAATATTTTTTTAATCTTTACAAAATAATATTTATTATATATTAATGGAATATACACCCGATATTCATTTGTTCATTAACATTATTATAGGCCAACAGAATGTTGCCATCAATGCCATCGTATTTATATAAATCAAATTAAAAAATAATTATTATTTGACACATTATTATTGCCTCTTTAATTCATTTATTTTAATTTATTATAATAAATACAGATATTTTAAATTAAAAGATGTAAAATATGATGACTATGCTAACCAATGTCTAAAATGTCATTCATTGGTTCATCGATATATGTATTTTATCGATTACGTTGAAGCACTAGAAATATTGTAATGTGTATCAGTGTTTATAATAATGTAATAAAATCTTTGTGTGCGTTATGCGTCACTTGGTTTAACTAGTTTTCAAACATTTGTATTTTATGTCAGGTCCAGTCTCTAATTCGTTAATGTCTGATATATTCAGAAATATATATTTAACGAGAATTGTTTAGTGAATTCGAAGCTCATGTATAGTTACTGTTGATGATACCTATCATTGTTTTAACAGCAAATATCGATGTGATGCGGTTGCCGATTTATTTACGTTGCTTGTAATTAGGTAGTTTACCCCACCTCAGTTTTCTTCCATTTAGCTGTATTTTAATGATTGTTTTAGTTTTACTAGACTGGCCTAGTTAGACTTTTTAGTTATTTAGTGCTTAATGCAGCCTTTATTAATGTCCCACTGCTGGGGGTGGGCCTCCCTTCCTTACGAGAGGATTAGACCATACTCCACCACGCTGGCTTGTGGGTTGGTGGACTTCACATTTCTTCTGGAAACTTGTTAGGTTCTAGTGCAGGTTTCCTCATGATACTTCCCTTCAGTATAATCGTGTTGAAAATGATTCGCATATGAAAACACCAGAGGTGCGAGACCCGGGATTAGAGCCCGCTTCACTTGCTTTCTAAAACATGCGCGTTATTACTGGACTTACACAGTCTTCAATACTATTTCTTTTCATGACCGTTTTATATATATATATATATATACATTACATATATAACACCCCTCTTTTTGCGTCGGGGGTTAAAAATGTAATTGTCTTCATAATAATTATAGACAGAACAAATCACTTGTAAACGCGCCGCAGCAACAAGTAGGTGTATCTTAACAGAGGATTCAAAGAAAAAAATAACGATTCAATTTTAGAATTTTTCGAGTGCATAATATCCAATTAGAGAAGATAAATATTTTTACTTTTTACATTTAATAATAATCTGATATTAAAAATTCGATAATTGTTAAAGTGCAGTGTTGTTTCGTCTGACCGAGATAGATACTAATGCGACGGAAGGTGTGTGGTTTCGATTTTCGCTCGAGGTAAATTTTTATATTTGACATGAAGTTCATATTCTCATCTGTAATAACTCTTCAGAGAAATTCTAACTACTGTCATAATATTGAAATATTTTTTGTTGTTTATCTCAAAATTAGTCCTGTCTGTCTGTGTTTATTTTGAAATATTGTGTACTGTGTTCATTTATAAGCTTTTCTTTATACTTATTTTCGTCTAGTGATGAAATTTGATCGTAATCATTATTGAAATTTTGAGGAAAACATATGAATAGAATTTACACTACAACATATAATAACTAACTGTGGCTAAAAAATTTTTGATAACATCAATAGCAAAACTATAGATACCTAGTAAGGTATCTATACACAAAAATGAAAATCGGTTGCCAAACAGATCAGAAAAATATACTGAACCGTTTTGACTTTGCCTATTTATATATAGATAAATTCATATATCAATTAACGTTTTATATCATTCTCACCATATTAAGTTAAAATTCATCAAGTGGGCTTATCAAAGGAATAACCCTGTATACATATTTAAGTATATAAAAATCTATACAGATAAATAAAATGGAAGTGTCCGTTGTCAATTTTAAAGTTTAGATTTTTTGATAATAATAGTCGAATAAGACCTTCGAGTATATTTAACATACTAGCATTGCCCGCGGCTCCGCCCGCGTTCAGATGACTAATTTAGATATTAGTATACTCTTACAATGCAGTTTTAGTATTTTTCTCAGAAATAAGATATTTTCCCGCGATAAAAAGTATCCTATATGTTGACCCGGATATCCAGCTATCATCATACCAAATTTCATCAAAATCTGTTCAGTGGTTTTCTCGTGATGCGGTGACAGACAGACAGACAGACAAAAAATCTACAAACTATAGATTCGGACTCTGTATCGATAATAATGTCTATTTCAATTAGATTTTCCAAAAAATATTTAATATACAGATTCAGCTTAGTTACAATTTTATTATAAGTATAGAAAAAAAAACAAATCACTTCGAAACTGTCAAAAATAACGTACAACAAAAATAAGCACTCAAACTGAAAAGCCTTGTTTGAAGTCGGTGAATCACTCGAGCGACCGCAAGCCTATGAGATTACTAAAGAAAATTCGAAGTATACGTTGCGGACTTAACTCCGCCTACATTTAACTCAACCAATGAAACATCGCCAACCAAAACCGCTGTCATCCAATAATCCTGCTGTTAACATTAAGAAAAACTAGATCTTAAGAAGTTTCGCATTCATGCAAAGTAATTAAATTATCTATGTATACATTTTCTATCTGAAGTTACTTAGTTGTCATCAACATTGTATTTTAATAAGTAATTATATGTATTGTATATAATATGTATGTATGTATATTGTATGGTATAAAATATATGTATTATATAATTATTATTCTTAGCTATGTATTTTATATACTTGCATGCTCGCGTATTTATTATACAATTATAAATAAATAAATATATATATATATATATATATATATATATATATATATATATATATATATATATATATATATAATACCTTGCAATTTTCTGCTCCGATAAATGACAATCTTTCTCACCTCCTAAGTTGACTGGAAGAGATCTCTTTTAGAGATAAGTCCACTTTTGCCTTCAATTTTCTCTTAATATTTGTAATTTGTATTTATAATGTTCAATAAAGAATATATATAATATATATAGGTATGTGTGTGTGTGTGTATTTGTAAATTCTAATCCTTTTAAATGAAACTAGATACGAGTATTAATATAAATATTTGTATGTGTGCATGTTTGTTTGTCACGCTAAAACGGCTGGACTCATTTGAATGTAGCTTAGCACACATATAGCGTACGGATGAACATATAGGTTAGTATTAATAATGAATTGTGCCAAAAGGTGGCTCTAGCTGTACAGAATCTATCACATAAATAAAATTGAAGTGTCTATTTGTAATGGTCGAAATAACAGCTTTTTACTAAATGCATAAGGAACATGTCTTAAAGATATAGTTGTTACAGACAGCCTACCCACAATTAACAAAATGAAAATTGCACCAATTACATTACAATATTTTTAACTTTAAATATAAAAATATAGTATTAATTATTAAAGCCATATAATTGTTCTATGTGTAATTTAAAAAAGTTAAAATTAATTACGGATAATAATTTTAATTTAGTTTGCTATTATTATTTAATAATGTCAAACATTCGCGTAAATCTAAGAAAGTATAATGCATAAGGAATTATATACGGTACTTATAAGAAACACAATTTTTAAATTGTTGTCTGTCTTACAACTTTTATTTTAGAAAAAAAAATCAGGGTTCCGCTTAAAAAAAACTAAAACCACCCGAGCGAAGCGAGCAGTCTAATAACTTTTTATTTATGTACACGAGCAAAGTGTTATTATTGAAATAAATAATTTCGATAATAAACTTTGCTTATCGATACTTGACATG